TTGAGAGCCAGATGGAACCAGCCCACTATGCAGTGTTAGGATTCAGTGCTAAAAGATCATTCATTAGCTGGGAGGATAAAGGATTTCTGTGAAGACACAGTTTAAGCCAGTGCAGTCAATGGCATGGCAATGTGCAGAAAGAAAACTTCTGTCAAGTTACAGTCATTGTTCTTTGAAAATAAATTATTCTCGAATTGGGTAGCTGTAAATATAAGGAAACATTTATGTCAAGTGGAAGATTTTTTAAAACATTGTAATGTACTTAATTGTAATTCCCTCCCCTTTCAAATACATAACTCCTCTATAGGATTGTTCATGTATTTAATAACCTCTCACATATTGCAAAAGATATTCTTGACTTTGGAATTTGAATTAGTTCCTCAGCTTCTCTCTCCTGTTTCTGCCCCTGTGTTGCTCCTTAATTTTTGAAGAATTATATCAGATCTCAAAACCTTGCCACTGGATTGGCAGAAACCATGTGGTCAACTAGAAAGAGACTCAAAGTGAAAGTAGGAAAAACTTTAGTGTCAATTCAGCTTTACCACTATCTAGCTATTCTTTTTTAATTGCTTATGCTTCTTTTTAAAATGAATGTGGGATTTTATAATTTCTAATAATCTGACACAGTTCCAAAATTCCATCCTATTAGTTCTCTTTTTCTGATGCTGTTTTTAGATGACTGTGAATTACTCAATATTTATATCTAAGCATAAAACCTTCTCCTTCCCCACAGATTACTGGGGAAAGCAAAATCTTAGTGGACAAATAGTGAGAGGGGTAGAGTTTTTAGGGTTTCTTTTCATTCTTTGGCATTTTGCCTGATTTTTTAACTTCACTCTGATTTCTTTGAAGCTGTGTTTATTGTTCTTGCTGCCATGGAACACTTATCAGGAGCCCTGTCATTATTTCATGGAGAAAAAAAAAATATTGAGGACCTGAATGTCTTCTAGAACTTCTCTGACAAGACTCTAAAAAATTTTATGCTGTTTTCCGAGCTGACAGTGGTGCTCTTCAAGGCTCTAAGCCTTTGCCTACGCTGTTTCTTTTCCTGGTTATTCTCTGTAACCCTCTCCATCCTTGAAAGCCAATCTCAAATATCATTTCCTCTGCAAAGCCTGCCAGAGAACTTCCACTTTTGCATTCATCACATTGCACTGTAATTGTTTGTTTACACATCTGTTTCCTCAACTAGACTCAGAGCTCCCTGAGGTCGGAAATCTCCTCTTGTTCAACTTTGCAGCTTCCTGTTGGCTGCAGGGAAGTCAGAGCCAGAAAGGTGGCCCACCCTTAGTAAGTATGTGACCCTTCAGGGAAGTTTTCCTGCCCCTGTTTGCCCCTTCTTCTTCTTCCCTTGACCTTATCTGTCTTATCTACTTCTAATTCCTGTTATCTGGCATCATTGTTTATATCTTAGTAAATCATCTGAAAAAAATTTTAAGCTTGGAAGGTTTAAGAAGGAAAATACTCATCTGTGGATCCCTAGGGCTTGACACAGCACTGGACGGTACTAAGGTACTCAATAAATATATGTTTTATACATGATATAGTAATAGCAATATTTGAATGTTACTATGGACTAGGAAGTTTATATATATGTGTGTGTGTGTGTGTGTGTGTGTGTATAAACAAACTCATTTAATTTTTCCAACCGAGAAGCAGAAACTGTTTTTATCCTCATTGTACATAAGAAAACTGAGGCCCAGGAAATTTAAGTAACTAGTACTGTTTACACATTTCGAAAGTGGTTTGGGTCAGTATTGAAACAAAGCCAATACAAATAAAGAAGCTAAATTCATCTGTTAGTCTGATCATCACCAGAATTTCATAAATGAAAATTATGCATGTCAATTGAATACCAAAGGATCACAGATCAGGTATAATTTTGGCTTCAGATACAAATCACATGTGGTAGGTTTCTTCTTTAATTTACAAATCTATATTTTATAGGCGTTTCTTTGGGAAAATGTCACCCAGGAGCTGCTATGCTCCTCATATCTCTGGGAATTTTGAAAGGAAGCAGAGAACCCAGATGGCTCAGTGGGTAAAGAACCTGCCTGCAATGCAGAAGACATAGGAGATGTGGGTTTCGATCCCTGGGTTAGGAAGATCCCCTGGAAAAAGAAATAGCAACCCACTCCAGTATTTCTTGTCTGAAAAATCCCATGGACAGAGGTGCCTAGTGGGCTGCAGTCCATGGGGTCACGAAGAATCGGACACAGCTGAGTGACTAAGCACTCACAGAACTGAGCACCACATAGGTCTGTCTTCATAATAAGTGTGCCCAAAGCAGCATCTGAAATCCTTTAATGTTGCAAAGAAGTGTGGAATCAGTAGCAAATTCCCTAGTCCTCATTTAACCTGGGTCACATCATAAAAGATGTTACTTCAATGACTGAGTCATTCCAAGGATCCTGACTTCCATCCAGGTCCCTGGGCAAAATGAAGGAGAAAGGCAAGGAGAGGAGAGTCTCCTTCCTCTTTCCTACCCTCTGGGTCAGCCTCCTTAAGTAGTTCTTGCTCTCTACAGCTTCATCACGCATTCTTCCCCTTGAAAATCTCCACGACTGTTTGAAGTCAACATCCAATGTGCCTCAGTTTCCTCCTCTGTAAAATGAGGATAATAATGGTAACTGGCTTCCCAGGTGACTCAATGCAAAGAATCCACCTGCCAATGCAGGAGCCACAGGAGATGCGGGTTCGATCCCTGGATGAGGAAGATCCCTTGAAGGAGGAGATGGGAACCCCTACAGTATTCTTGCCAGGGTAATCCCATGGACAGATAAAACTTGCGGGCTACAGTCCATGGGGTCACAAAAGTCAGACACAGTTGAGCAACTGAACATGCACACACACAACAGTAACTACCTCCCAAGGGAGAAACAGGGAGGCCCAAGGTACAGTGGGGTCTGTGGAGGGGGTAGAGGGGCGCCAAATAAAGACAGGATGAGGTGGAGGCACTACTGGGGATATGTGGAAGATAAATATGAGTGAAACATGATCATCAGGGAAATTTGGGCTATTTCAAGTAAGGGTTCTGACTTGAACCAAGGGAGGGTGAGCTGATCCCAAAGCCTGTGCTGTTTCTCAAGCAGCAGATGGAGAACGTGGCTCCTGTCCTCCTGATACAAATGAGACCATGAAGAGAGTTGCTGATGGAAAGGAAATCTGACTATAATGCCTCTTCTCAGCTGACATCACAGGTTGCTGACAACCCTGCTGCACAGACATCTCAATCTACCACTGTACAATGACGTCATTATATAAGACTACATATATCTGGGTCACTCCTTGGATATTTTTCTATGATGATCACAGATTCTCATCAATGCATTTGTATATCTAATATTGTATTCAGAAGAGGGATAGTTAGCCCCACTACCCTAGATAAAACGACAGAATGACCCTGAATCATCCTTTCATCTTTAGGTGGGGCAATGCTGGCTAATTTGTCACTATCTTGATGAGACTTTCCCTGCTGTAAAATTGTGTCATAGACCTAGGAAGGACCTTGAAAGTTATATAATCCTTTTCTTAGCATCTCAACAGTAGCAAACAGGTGAGGCGATTAAAGCCCAGGCAGTGATTCGAGGACTTGAATAACTGGGTGTTTCGATTTCCAGCTCTATTGGCCATTAGTTGACCAGTTGACCATAGCTAAATCTCTTAACCTTTAAAACACTAAAGTGGTGCTTTCTCAGTGATTAAAACTTTTAATCTGGGAAATACCTGGTCCAGTAGCTAAGACTCTGCGTTCCCAATGCAGGGGCCTGAGTTTGATTCCTGGTCAGGGAACTGGATCCTGCGTGCCACAACTAAGACCCTGTGCAGCCATATAAATAAAAAGAACCTTTTAAATCTTCCATCACTATTCATAAACAGTGAAGGATGTGGATACATGCACTACAAATGCCTTTGCTGTTTCTCCAGTGAAAGGAATTTTCTAAATGACCACCTTCAGGTCAAGCAGACTGAGTCTGAAGGTAAGGCCAACTGTATCATTCATCTCAGTGGCATCCACCCGAAGTGGAAGATTCTAATTCCAAGGGAAAGACAGATGGTGACAGCCTCCAGCATAGACCCAGTGTACTGTGGTTATATCTGAGATGGATGGAAAAGCCCATCTGATCAAAATTACCTTGGATATATACAGCCCCCAGACAGTCATCCCATGTAGTTAATGAGCTAAACTTTTCAAAGAGAAGCATATCTGGGAAAGTTAACTCACTGTAGTTTTGTGGGGGTTTTTTTTTTTCCTCACTAGTTTTTTATAACCCTTCACACCTTCATGTGACTTTATTGGATGCAGATAAGAAGAGCAATCTTCTGTGTGTCTGAGGAAAGGGCAAGCTGCAGTGGGGAGTTGATGCAGTGACTCTTTCCTTCCCAAGAGCATCCCAAGGAAGAATCTTATTTTTTTAGGGAATAGAAAGCAAGATTAAGGGGAAAAGAGAGATTGGAGAACAATAATATCAGAATTGAACTATTGTGCTATGTCCTAACAATAAACATAGGATTACTGAGCTAGACAGGAAAAAAAACCCTTATAATTACATACTTATTTTAGGTTTTTTTTTCTCCTCCTTTTTCCCCTCCTTTTTCCTCTTCTTGGAAGATGTAAGTTAGCATTTTCCAAGGAAAATCCCTGAATCCCAAATGACTGAAAGGCTTTGCTTTGACTGAGAACATGCATAGAGGAATTTATTTATGAGTTCTAGCTACTGAGGACGAAGACATTTGTTGGGGCCTCTTTTATGCAAGGAAGATTGAAAAAAATTTCCATATTTTGAATAGACATTAAAAAAAACAGCTTTATTGAGATATAATTCATATATAAGGTACCCATTTAAAGTATATTGGGTTTTGGTATATATTATTGTTAATTTTTAAAAATTGTAGCAAAATATATACATATATGACATAAAACTTTCCATTCTAACTATTTTTGAGTGACGAGTGCAGAGTTTTTAAATCATTTTTTACAGGGGAATTCTGTGACTTACCTCTTGCTTGTCACTGTGAAACTGAAAAGAAAATAAATATACTGAAATATAAAAGACCAGTTGAAAAGACATGCTGACATGGACTCTTCTGTAAATGAGCAGCAAGTCATTAACTGTTCTTAAGAGACTCCATCAGCAGTGAGGTGCCCTGTGACTCCCAGAGGTCTTATAGATCCCAGACTCCCTCAGCACCATCTGCCCAGAAATACTGCTCCAGGGTCATTACCACAAAAAGATAAGTGTTCAAAAGGAGGGTTACTCACAGCTTCCTGGGAATTCTGGCTTATTAGAATGTTGAGAAAGCTCTCTAGGTGATTCTGATGCATGATCACTGGCTAAAAGCTGCTGTCATGGAGTTCTAATACTCAGATTGTTGACTGCCATTATCTGAGGTTCTCCTAGTTCAGGATTTCACAGTAGCATAATTTTTATGTTTTGTCCAGGATTTTGGTTGAAAATAACAGTAGCCGACAGTTCCTGAGTACTTCTCAGGTTCTGTCTTAATTACTTCATATACATCACCTCTTGTGATTCCCACAAGTCTGAGAGAAAGAGGCTCTTATTATCTCCTTTACACAGACAAAGAAATTGAGGTTTGGAACTATCTAGTAACTCACTGGCCTAAAGTGAGGTCATAACAGCTGGTAAGTGGCAGGGACAAGACTCCAACCCAGGCCCCAGCCCTGGGCCAGGAGGACAGATCCCAAGTAAGGTCCTTGAGTCCCTCCATCTAAGCTCCTGCTGTGGAAGGGTCTCTAATGTTAAGAGCTGTGTCAGGCAAGCTCTGAACCAGGCCAGCTCTGAAACGACATTCCTGTCCTCCAGGGGCTTTCAGTCCAGGATAAGAGTGCAAGGTAGGCTCTAATAAGGCCTGTGGTAAAGCTCCCAATAACTCTCTCCAGTGTTCTTGCCTGGAGAGTCCCCATGGACAGAGGAGCCTTGAGGGCTGCAGTCCATGGGGTCGCAAAGAGTTGGATACGACTGAGCGACTCGTCACAGCACAGCACAAAGCTACCAGCAAAGTTGGAGAAATGTTTACAATTTAAGTTTCTTAATAGTTGGTTGCATTTTTGTTCCAGATACAATGATATGCAGTTAAAATGGGCCAGGGTAAAAGGATAAGGGCTTCTCAGGTGGCACAGTGGTAAAGAACCTGCCTACCAATGCAGGAGACACAGGAGACCTGGGTTCAACCCCTGGGTTGGGAAGATCTTCTGGAGAAGGGCATGGTAACCCACTCTAGTAATGACTGGAGAATCCCATGGACAGAGGAGCCTGGTGGGCTACAGTCCATGGGGCCGCAGAGTTGGACATGACTTAATGATTAGAAAAGGATACATACTATACAAATCATTTCTTTAAAACTTATTTTGTAATTTCTGATGCTTTGTACTATAGTAGCTGCTGAGCTAAGAGGCCTCCAAGGTTCTGCAGTAACTTTGAGAAAACAATGCTTGCTCCACTCCCGGAGCAAACATGCTGGTCCTTCAAGTGCTATTGTAATTAGTCTGTTTACTTGGAACACTTGAGCTGAGTTTACAGGGCTGCTAACTAAAGCCTCCTTACCTTAAGGGCTATGTACCTCTCCAGGAGATGTCAATTACTGCTTTGCAAATTGTGTCAACTTCTTGGCAAAATGGCAGTCAGCTGTCAATGTGAACACAAGATGAATCACAGAACTCAAGAGAGGCAGAGGTATTTGCAGAAGCAAACTTTCAAAGAGCTGAACAAGCCCGCAAGCATTACAGCCTTTAGTTCCTTCATCTTTCACATCAACAAAGTACATCATGCTCAGAAAAAATATTAATCCTTTTTAGGTCCCTGACATCTGCACACCTCTCTAACTTTTCTCTTTTTGATATTGTTTGCCTCTTATCTTTAAAAAGTGCTGAAGCATAAATGCTATTCTAAACTGGTTACTTGTGAAAATACTTTTAAAATTATTTTTTGCTGCCAAAAGTAAAGTAAAAAAAAAAAATTTTTTTTTTAAAGTTTTTGCTTATGCTACTTAATCATGGATTTAGAAGCCAGGGATGGAAAAGAAATAATCCAGGATAGCTATTAAATGTTAATGTAAAATGGTTAGATTAGCAGAATATCAACATCTGGGTTTTTTAAACTGGGGCCTTATACCACCTGCTTCAAAATCTTTTAAAAAACAAACAAATTCACCGAGGGCCACCTGGACTCAACTCTTTGGGGATAGAATGCAGGTATCTGCATTCTTAATCAGCTTCCTATGATTCAGGAGCTTATTGAGGATCTTTCTAATTTTTTTCTGATTAAAAGTGACAAGCTGAAACATTCACAGTTCTGATCCCTTTTCCCAGTGACTGCTTGCTGCCACAGTAGGGGTTCCTAACCTTTATTTGTGCCATGATCTGGGAGTCTGGTAAGTCTACAACTCCCTTCTTAGGATAATGTTTATAAATTCATAAATAAAACATATAGGATTTCTAAAAATGAATTATACTGAAATGCAATTATCAAAGAAAAAAATTGTTTGCCTTTTAAAATGAATATATAAAATAATATTCAGTAATACCAAATGATAGGTATATTAACTACCAATATTTCAAGGCTGTGATGAGCATGAATGAAAATTTTATATTCTTAACAATTGATGTGTCTATGATTGTATCAATGACTTCTATTTCAGTTACTACTAAGTTGCTTCAGTCGTGTCCAACTCTGTGTGACCCCATAGATGGCAGCCCACCAGGCTCCTCTGTCCCTGGGATTCCCCAGGCAAGAAAACTGGAATGGGTTGCCATTTCCTTCTCGAATGCATATTGCTAATACCACTGCTTTATTGCTTACATTCAAAAAGAAGGAAACGCTAAAGGTTAGTTAGAAGTTTGTGAGAATAAAGATGTGATTTTTTTTTTTCCCTCATCAGGGAGTTCATGAACTCCCTGAATTCTAACCTTGAGCTTATATTCTGCTTGAATTCAAGCCCCAGCTTAAAATTCCCCTTATATTATAGAAAGAGGTAGATAGTAGTCATGTAAAAACTTCCATTACTTCCCAGTTAAAATATGTCACTTCTAAGAAATTTCTTGCCAATTAACTAGAGGAAAAGACTATCCAAAGTACAGCCCATGGCAGGGTAGGGCAGCGGACACACCAAGATGTAACACTTGTTTGCCCTTATAGACCTGTAACCTGGCCACCTTAGAGACTGCATGAAGTTGCAGACAGGTGTTGCTTGTGAGATATCATCATCCCTTGGGGCAGCTTCTCCTGGGGTCATTCATTCTCTAGATCCCTGGAACAAGCTTCCTCCATGACTTCCCGTACTGAGTTGGAGAGGGTGGAAAAAGATTGCTTATGTTATGCTGGTGGAAGTTTAGTCCTGGGCCCTGGAGCTAGGGATCTGAAATAGGTGTATGAAAATAAACCATTAGGCACATTTATCTTAAACCTTCCCCTGCAGCTCCATTATTTCAGGAAGGCCCTCAAAGGGACTTTGCTGCAGGTGCTTCACCTCAGGAAGGCGAATGAAGTGCTGAAAGCTCAGAGCATCCATTTTCTTGTGAAGGCTTGGGTCTGTCCACACTTAGCCCCCATCATGGTGCAGAGTTGCTGAGTGAGTGTGGGTTCTTCGGTGTGACCTCTTCTGATCCCTTAAACGTGACCCTTCAATGACCTTCTGATGGTGGCGGGGGGCCACTCATCTGGGGAGGCGGTGCACACTGAATCGGGTGTCAGGCCTGGCACTGTGGGGCAGACAGACTGTGGGGCAAAAGCAGCTCTTTTTCTGTCCCTCTTCCTCGGGTTCCTCAGCTAGAATCACAGTTGTATTAGACGATCTTTTCATGAAATTTAGTGATTGAATTGTTGAATTGTTCTTCTAGGGCTGCCATAACAGTGAACCACAGACTAGGCAGCTTACACAATGAAAATGCATTCTCTCACAGTTCTTGTAGTCCTGGAGGCTGGCAGTCTGGATCAAGGTGTTTGCTGGGTTGGCCTCTTCTCCCTGGCTCTCCACATCCTCTTCCCTCTAAGGCGCAGAGCAGAAATGACCTGTCTTTAGCAGGTCTCTGCAGTGGCCAGAGGAGACTTGTCAGGAAAGCCATTCCTCACCCCACAGAGAAAAGTGACTGTCCTTTGGGAAATCCCAGACAGGGCAGTCAGGAGGGCAGCAGTCCTCATCTCCAGAGGCAAACTGAGAAAATCTTCCCCCTACGAAGTCTGTTTCAGCTTGGCTCAGACTCTGTGCTGGGGAGAGGCACAGGGTAATGACTAATGAGCTATTTTCCCAGCCCAGGGAAGGGTCCTGGTCCCACCTGACCCACGCCCTTGCAGCCCCACCTTAACACACGGAGCCAAGCCAGCCTTCAGTTCTGGAGAGGAGCGCCATTGTGGAGCCAACCAGCTTTCACAAGCTTACCCTGGATTTCAACAGTAAATCGCTGGGTGTTCTCATAGTGTGTTATTTACTCTGTGGCACTTTATCTGTGTTTGTAAACCATCTACTTGGTTTTCCTGCCAACTTCAGTGTGGGATAATTGAAATTAAAACAGAAAGAAATGAAGTGCCAAAGTCTGAAATTGTCATCTGTAAAACAGAATAAGAGGCCAGCTGACTAAGCTAAAATATGTACAATCTGATGTACAATGATTATTTTAAAATAATTTAAAAACAAAAGCCAAACGAGAGTGTCTTCAAAATACCAAGGAATTTTGAACATTTGAGAGGAAAAAACACACAAAATCTCACAATGATTTTGATTTCATTAATGTTCCCTTGCTACTTTAGTTACCACAATCTATGAAATGTGAACAATGAAAAGTTACCTAAAATTATATTACAATGAGGTAAAAGCAATTTTAAATCTATTTTGAACTGTGAATTTTCACCTTCTAAATTTTTACATTAAAATTTTATCTAGATCTCTGTTAGGCGTGCTAGTTTTTCCTCCCATAAATATCACTCTGCTTTGTGATGAGCTTCTTTCACTTAGTTTTTTTCTAAAGTGAGTTCAGTGATTTTGTTCTCATTGGGCCTCTGCATAGTCTGGAATCCAGCTTGATCTTCTACTTCATTTCATAGCTTTTACTTTTGTGTCAGCCTCTGGGACTATTATTATTTTAAATATATACATTTATTTTCATGCTTTGTTTTTATATTACTCACCGAAAAGGTAGCCGTCATTTACATATCCAGTCGTCTCTTTTTTACATCTTTCTAATGTTCATCTCCTTTTCTGCAAATCTACTTGCAGAAGATTTTTTTTTTTTTTACCCTCTCCATTTTTGTTACCCTCTCCAGTTTTCGTCTGACCTAGATACCTCAATTGTAAGTGCTTCAGGGTAGGGATCCTGTCACTTGGTATTTCGTAAGGTGTTCCAGAAACTTCTTACCTGACTTTGAGTAATCATGGTATGCAAACTGCTATAATTCGATTATGAATCTGTGAATGACAGTATATCCTGCTGATAACATTTCAGATAACAGCTTGGTTAAGGTGTGGTTAAATAGTACAGATAGTTAGAGGTGGGGAAAGGATTAAGCCAAAGGAAAGTTGGACATAAATTTATTGAAAGTGTAAAGGAACTCAAGGGCTTCTCTGGTGACTCAGTGGTAAAGAATCCGCTTGACATAAGAGATGGGAATTTGGTCCCTGGGTCAGGAAGAT